TTAAGAGCAGGGAGGCTATGCTAGAACTGTATAAAGCATTGGTTATGCCACAGCTAGAGTATTGTCTGCAGTTCTGGAATTCACATTGTAGGAGAGACGAATGCAATGGAGAGGATCACAGGAGATTGTCCAGGATGTTGCCAGGAGAGTTATGAAGAGAGATTGGATAGACAGAGTTCTTTTCCATGGATTAGGGGAGACTGAAAGACGACATGATTGGGAGACACAAAATTACAAGGGTACACAGAAAGAGACGTTTCCCATTGGTGGAGGGATCAATGACTGGGGGCAGAGATTTATGGAAAGGGGGATGAGGTTTAGAGGGCATGCATAGGGAAAAAAATTTTAGTCAGAGGGTGGCAGGAATTGGGTACTCACTGCCTGTAAGGGTGGTTGAGACAGAAAATCTCATAACATTTAAGTACTTAGAGATGCCAAGACATGCAAGGTTACAGGCCAAATGCTGGGAAATGGAATTAGAATTAGAATGGTTAGGCGCTCGTTTTTGACTGGTCCACACTCGATGGGCCAAACGGCACGTTTCTGCGCGGTAGATCTCTAAGTCTCACTATACCTCATCCTTTCCACAATCATTCTCCATTCAATTAATAATCTGCCTTCCCGGCTCGGCCAACGAAGTACATTATTCTATATTGTAACTCACTTGCCATGTGTATGCATTTATAGAGTCAGAGAATTATACAGCACAGAAACAGACAAAAGATCTAAAGACAAATACAGCACAGGAACAGGCCCTTCGGCCCTCCAAGCCTCTGCCGAACATCATGCCCTAATTAAACTAAAAACAAACCTCCTGCCCTTGTTTGGTTCGCATCTATTCCCTCCCTATTCATGTAACCATCCAGATGCTTCTTAAATATCACCAACATGCCTGCTTCCACCACCTCCTCCGGTAGTGCGTTCCAGGCTCTGCATGAAAAACTTCCCTCACACATCTCCCTTAAATTTTCCCTCTCTCACCTTCAACCCGTGCCCCCTTGTAGTTGAAACTTCAACCCTGGGAAAAAGCCTCTAACTATCCACTCTATCTATGCCTCTCTATATTTTTGTAGACCTGTATCAGGTCTCCTCTCAGCCTTTCCACTGAAAACAATCTTAGTCTTTTGAACCTTTCCTCATAGCCAATGCCCTCGAGACCAGGCAACATCCTGGTGAATGTTCTCTGCACTCTCTCCAAAGCTTCCACATCCTTCTGGTAATGTGGTGACCAAAACTGCACACAATACTGCAGATGAGAGACCAGCAAGGGTTTTATATAGCTGCAATGTGGTTTGCCAACTCTTGTAAGACCATGCCCTGGCCGATAACGGCAAGCATGCCATATGCCTTCTTAATCATTTTGGCCATCTGTGTTGCCATTTTTAGGGAACAGTGGACCTGCAAACCGAGACCCGTTAGTCCAACTCTTCCATGCCAACCAGATATCCTAAACTGATCTAGTCACATTTGCCAGCATTTGGCCCTATCCCTCTAAACACTTCCTATTCATGTACCCATCCAGATGCCTTTTAAATGTTGTAATTGTACCAGCCCCCACCACTTCCTCCGGCAGCTCATACCAGTCATGCATCACCTTCTGCGCGAAAATATTGCTCCTCAGATTTGTCAGAACAGTGACTACAAGAGCAAGGAGACGATGATGGAGCTGTATAAAATGTTAGGTAGGCCACATGTGGGCGTACTGTGTGTAGTTCTGGTCACCACACTATAGAAAGGATTTGATTGCACGAGAGATCACAGAAGACATTCACCAGGATGTTGACTGGGCTGACGTGATTCAGCTATGGGAAAAAAAAAGAGACTAGATAGGCTGGGTCGGAGCAAATTATGCAGATGCTGGAATCTGTACTGAAAACAAAAAATGCTAGAGATCACAGCGGGTCAGGCAGCATCGATGTAGAGAAAGCAAGCTAATGTTTCGAGTCTAGATGACTCTTCAATGACCTGATGTGAAGGCTGGAGCTGTTTTCCTTCGCACAAAGAAGGCTACGAGAATCTGATTGAGGCAAACAAAGTTCTGAAGAGCTGAGACAGGTTTGACAGGGTAGAACTTTTCCCTTTAGTGGAGGGATCAGTAACCAGAGGCCATAGTTTCAATGTATGGAGGTTTAGAAGGGATTTGAAGAAAACATTTTTCACCCAGTGGGTTATGGGTATCTAGAACTCATTGTCTGAAAGGGTGGTAGAAGGCAGGAGCCCTCAAAATATTCAAGAATTATTTAAATGAGCATTTGAAACACCATCGAATTTACGGCTATGGCCAAGCGCAAGGAAACGGGATTAGAATTGATAGATGCTACAATAATGTGGAATTGGTTCAGCGACAGGAAACAATAAATGCTTTTTAGGCTGGAGGAAGGTTTGCAGTGAAACTTCCCAGGCGTCAGCGTGGGATCCTTGTTTTTCTTGACATAAATTAATAACATAGGCCTTGGTGTCCATGGCACAATTTCAAAGTCTGCAATTACTATGAAACTTTGAAGCATTGTGAACGGAGGAGGAAGATGGTCTAGAGAAGTTTTAAAAGCACAAATTGGTGCAAAAACAAATTAGTCTTTTCTCCAGGATATGGGAGTCCAAAACTAGAGGGTATAGGTTTAAGGTGAGAGGAGAAAGGGACTTGAGGGGCATGGAATGAGCTGCCAGAGGAAATGGAGGAGGCTGGTACAATTACGACATTTAAAAGACATCTGGGTGGGTAACTGAAAAGGAAGGGTTTAGAAGGATATGCTGGCAAATGGGACTTGGACCAGTTCAGGATATCTGGTCAACATGGACAAGTTGGAATGAAGGATCTGTTTCTGGGCTGTACAATTCTACGTTCTAAAAAGCAGAAACGGCAAATGGAATTCAGTTCAAAGAAACGTTAGATGAATTATTTTGGTAGAAAAACAAGGGGAGACAATAAAAACTAAAGGGCACATTTCTAAAAGGGGTACAGCAACAGACAGACATAGGTGTGTGGGTATAAATCGTTGGGGGTGACAGCACAGGTTGAGAACACGGTTGATAAAGCATACAGTATCCGGAGATTTATTAATAGAGGTATATAGTACAAGAGTAAGGGGATTATGTTAAAATTTTGTGAAATACTGGTTCAGCCTCAACTAAGTATTGCATCCAATTATGGGGGCTGCATTTTAGAAAGGATGTGAAGGGATAGGAGAGTGTTTTAAGGTATCTGTAGAAAAGATTCACAGGAATGATTCCAAGGATGAGAAACTTCAGTCACATGGATAGTTTGGAGAAGTTGGGGCTGTTTTCCAGGGAGAAGGTGGATAGAACATCCGACACATATGTTCAAAATGATGACTGAACAGATATTTTGCATTGGTCTTCACAACAGAGGACAAGAGTAACATCCTAGAAATAGTTACAAATCAGCAAACAGGAGGCAGGGATAAATGGAGGGTTTGAATTCTAAGGAGAGGCTGGATAGGCTGAGACTTTTTCTCACTGGAGGTTGAGGGGTGACCTTATAGAGATTTATAAAATCATGAGGAGTATAGATTAGGTGAACAACAGGTGTCCTTTCCCTAGGGTGGGGGATTTCAACATTGGAGGGTATATTTTTAAGATGAGAGGAGAAAGATTTAAAAATGACATGAGGGGCAATTTTTTTTTTAAACACAGAGTGGTTCGTATGGAATGAACTTCCAGAGGAAGTGGTGAATGCAGGTACAATTACAATGTTTAAAAGACATTTGGATAAGTACATTAAAAGAATTGTTTAGAGGGCTTTGGGTCAAGCGCAAGCGGGTGGGACTAGTTTATTTGTGATAACGGTCAGCATGGACTAGTTGGACCAAAGGATCTGTTTCCATGTTGTGTGACTCTGCAATTTTCAAGTTATAATCACCAGGGAAGAATTACCGAGTGAAGTACAAGAGCTTTGGGTTAATGAGTCGCCAGGTCCTGATTGTGACCCGAGATGAAGACAAACAAAAAAATAATGGCTGGCGTACCACAGGGAGAAACTGCTCCTGCTAGTGGACTGATCAAGAACCAGAGACCGCAGATTTAAGAGAAGTGAAAAAAAGAAGTGACAGAACCAAAAACCTTTTCATGCAGCGAGTGGTTAGAGTCTGAAATCCAAGAGTGTTACTAAGGCAGGTTCATTCAAATTGGATTATTATCTGGAAAGAAAGAACGCACAGGGCAAAGGCAGAATGTAGATGATGAACTGCTGATCGAAAGACACAATGGGCCGAATGGCCTACTTCAGTACAGTTACCATTTCTGTGACGGGGGAGATGAATGGAACAGACTGGACTGCTCTATAAAGAACATTGACTTAGTCATAAAATTGTACAGGATGGATACAGAGCCTGTCAACCAGATACCTTAAAACAATCTAGTCCCATTTGCCAGCACTTGGCTCTATCCCTCTAAACCCTTCCTACTCATATACCCATCCAGATGTCTTTTAAATGTCATAATTATACCAGCCTCTGGCAGTTCATTCCATACACGCACCACCCTCTGTGTGAAAAAGTTGTCCCTTTTAAAGCTTTCCCCTCCCATCTTAAACCTACGCCCTCTGGCTTTGGACTCCCCTTTCCTGGGGAAAAAGGACCTTGGCTATTCACCCTATCCATGCCCTTCATGACTTAATAAACCTCTGTAAGGTCACCCCTCAGCCTCCAGTGGGGAATAGCTGGAGCCTATTCAGGCTCTTCCTCTAGTCCAAACCCGCCAGCCCCTGGCAACATCGTCGTCAATCTTTCCTGCGCCCTTTCAAGTTTCACAGCATCTTTCCTGTGCCCTTATGACTCTATGATTAAGCAGAATGGCAGAGCGGGGTCTCGAACATTATATAGCACAAGGCACTTACTAGTTCCTTTGTGCTTACCCTAGACATACGGGAATAAAGAAAACATTTAGTCGAATGAGGGTCTGCGGGAGAATTCTAGACCATTTGTCTGGGCTGTGTTCAGGCCCAAGGCCCACAGTCCCTGTCCCTGTGGCCACTGACTCACCTTCAGGATCTCCATAGGGACCTGGGCCTTGGCTGGCAGCCCCAAGGGCCCGTTGACGTCAATTGCACGGGAGAAGTTAGCAGGGGCCCGCTCTTGCTGGAGTTGTGCGGCTGCCTGCTGTTCCTTCCTCTCCTGCTCCTGCGCCTGCTCACGCATCAACTGTTGCCTTAACAGCACCCGAGATGACATGGTGGGAACGGTCACAGCCTGTTTCACTTTGTCCGGCTGAGAAGCAGAGCTGCTGTTGAGGGAGAGGGAAAGAGAGACAGCAGAATGAGACAGCGTCAGTTTATAAACGGGTTATCTCTGGGAGATTTGGCAGTCACAGCTTTCTCAGGATGGCACAATGTTCAGGAATTATCTCGGTCACTCTTCCAGAGGAACAACCTGGTTTTGCACCAAACTCACAGCAAAGGTGGCTTCAGCCAAAACAAAAGGGGGAAGTGAGCGGAGCTGCTTGTTCTCTGGCAGGCTTTCAACTCAAAAGCCCAGTCTGCAAACATTGTTTTGTGACTATGGCTATTTGAACAGTCAGATTTTCCCTTGAGGGAGTTCAAGTAACCAACACCAGCTATTACCCTGAACTACACGGTTTCCAAGAAAGGCCACGTTTGAAGAAAAGTTTAATGGCATCTTTTGACTGATACCTTCAAAACAAAAACACCAAAGCATCTCCTTGATCTATCAACTTCAAGTCCACAAAAATTATTCAATACGAGGCGTCTCACAACAAGCAATCCATCATGGGTGTCTATGCCGAGAGCTGCTTGCTATGCTAAACTCTATAATTCCTCCCTTAAATCTCTCCGACTCTTTCTCTCAGTACCTTCTCCAAGATATCCTTTACAAATCGACCTCTGCCTGAACCTAAAATCTTAGCCCTTGTTTGGGTCAGTGTGAAACTTTGCTTACTACTCACTTTGAAAAGGGATGTTTTAGAATCGTAGAATCCCTACAGTGTGGAAGCAGACCATTCTGCTTATCAAGCCCATATCGACCCTCTGAACAGCATCCTACCTAGACGCATCCCCCAAATAAGTATAATTGTTTTATCTACCTGCACATTTTGCCAAACACATCCTCCTACCCCCATTTTTAAATCACTCCCAGCCTACTCAGTTCTCCACAGCCCCGTTCTCTTCCTCCTCCACTTGTTCCATGAACACCCCCCACCCCATCTCGCCAACTTCCACAGCCCCCAAACAAAATCAGCCGTGCCCTCTCCAACCCCTGAACAATGCGGAGGCTGTATAATCTCTAGGATCCAACCTGTTCTTGCACCTGAAGCCCAGTCCTTCTCCTTATTCAACCTTAAGATCACCCTCCCCTTATCTTTTGACTCGCAACTGTTTTTTTAAATGGCTTTCACCCCCTACAAAGCCATTGTGTGACAAATTCAAACCCTAAACCTTGCCCGAGAGCCTGTTCAAAATCTGCAGTCAAGCCTCCTGCCAAAACAGAACACTGGACAAAGAAGAAGGGTGTAGGTTTATACAGGGGGCGAAAGAGAGGGAGAGGAGTGGGCCTGTGGGGTTTTGGGCGGGGGGGGGGGGGAGGAGGGGTGGTGGTGGGGAACGGGTGCTGGGAATCTGGCCTGCATGCCAGGCAGGGACCACAGACCCATTCCTGACGGTGTCGATTATTTGCCCCTGTCAAAGCAAGGTACAGGCAAACTGGCTTCCACTAATACCCAGTCTCCCAATTTGCCTCCCTGGCCCACCTCCTATCCCTTTCCAAGCCTTCTTAACCCTGCCTGCCCTCACCCTCTCTGTGCTATGAAGTAACTCACTGAAAGCAGCCAGTGGCAGAGACGAAGAGAGCCCGCATCAGCACATTCCTACTCTGCTCCCGCCCCCACAACAGCAGCCTTGCTCGAAACCTAATACAGGAACTCTCTGTCACACACAATCCATGTTTGCGCTGCACAGCTTCTGCTGATTCATCACAGTTTCATTTGTTCCCACACCCTCTTCCCTTCTGCTGCGGGCTGGCCGGTTCCGGCTTCCTCTCACCAAAGGCTGCCAGAATGGGAGTCAGCCCTCTAAAGCATCCAGCACTTGCAAAACTTCTCTCACTCAGACAGGCCCCAGCTCACAATGGAAACCTCTCTCACTCAGACAGGCCCCAGCTCACAATGGGGAGAGAAGAATGGTTGGAACTGAGACAGGGAAGGTTCAGGTGAGATCTATGAGGAGGTGGTGAGGGCGAGAGACGGACAGAGCGAGTGAGCAAGCGACACATGGACAGAGTGACCAAGCGCCGGGCAGAGCGAAAGAGCGAGCTGGGCAGAGCGAGCGAGCAAGATAGAGAGAGAGACAGAGACAGGCAGAGCAAGCGAGCGAAATAGCCAGAGAGGGCTAGAGCTAGCCTGAGCGAGCAAGATGGGGAGGGGAGTGGTGGTGGGTAGAGAGCGCAAGAGAGATGGACAGAATGAGCGGGAGGGAGTGAGACAGCAAGCAAGAGAGAGTGGTAGGCAGTGCGAGTGATCGAGACAATCAGAGCGAGAGAGTGAACAAGAGACGGACAGGGTTAGGGTTAGCGATAGACGGACTGGGCGAGCGCGAGGTGGGCAGCACAAGCGACTGCGAGCCAGGGAGTGTGAGAGACAGACCGAGGCAGGGAGAGAGAGAGAGAGAGAAAAAAACAGGGAGAGAGAGAGAGAGAGA